TTGTTTCCTAACGTTTCGCGAAACAAAACTTCAAGACCACGGCCACACAGCCCGGAAGACCCACACCAGCCACGCTAGTCTTTCTTCATTCTATTTTTCATCAACCTGGACTGAGAAATCTATTATATATCATTTGATATATCTATTATATATCAAATACAAATGACATATTCTCTTGTTTTTCTATCCTGCCTTATCTCCTAAGTGTTCATGGGGGGGGTCTCCCCTCATTTGATCCCTTCATTCAGTATAATGATCTAAATCAGCACAACAGCTTGAAACTGGGATACTGTACAAAAAGTCACTCTAGCCTCAGATAATCCCCTCCATTCTCCCTCCTCAGGCTGCCCTATGCTTTTTTTCGGTACAGAAATCCTCCACCTGCCCGGCTTGTTAATATTTAAAGTACATTTGTTCTATATCTAAATTTGTTCATTTTTTTTTCACTCTTCAGAATTCTTTGTTCTACTTTAAAAATGAGAAGATAACACACAGAACACAGTTGGATTATATGTCCATGTTATTTTATTCAAATATCCAAAATTGCTACTACCCTTTCTCTGAAGGCTATCAGCTTAACTCCCTATACACATTTCTCTGACCACAAAGGAAGCAATACCCTCTCCCTCTCTCCCCCTCATTTTTAAAATTTTCTATTTCATGGCAGTATAAACTACAATTCCTTTGCTATGAAGGGATTATAAATAATTTACAATTTCTGAAGACAAACAAGAAATAACTTTTTCAGTAGCCTATGTCACTCTTCCAGAACCAGCTGCCTAAAAATGTTTTGAAAAGTCCAAAATTATGCCATTGTTGAAAGTGTGACTTTGGGCCAGTCACTCTTTCTGAGCCTGACTCACCTCACAGGGTTGTTGTTGTGGGGAAAATAGGAACAGGAAGGAGTATTAGGTGTGTTGTTGCCTTGAATTACTTATAAAAATAATAAAGGTGGGATAAAAAATGTAAAAAAAAAAAGGCACTGCTGCCAAGGACATAAATGTGCAACCTAGGAAGAGGTCAAACTATTACTGTACCAATCCATTCGAATAACAGCCACTCCTAGGAAGAAGGGACAAGTGCCATTCTCCTCAGAGTAAATCTCTGTAGAACAGGAGAAGGTAGCTTAGAATTACTGTAGACTCAGTTTTCCAAATCCTTTCAAACTACTAGTTTTCAACTCTTTCTACTCTTCACTGAAAAGCATGCTAAAATGCTTGAACTGACCTCCTACCAGAGAGAGTAATTACTAGCTGACTCTTGTCATTACATTGTGTGCTAAATCTAGTCTCCTAGTACAGTGGAACCTCGAGTTACGAACTGGATCCGCGGCCATTTTCCCCCCCGTTCCACGTGGTCTGCGGCCATTTTCCGCCTGTTCCACGTGGTCCGCGGCCATTTTCCGCCCGTTCCACGTGGTCCGCGGCCATTTTCCACCCGTTCCACATGGTCCGCGGCCGTTTTTCCGCCCTGATGCG